TATCTCCAAAGTATCCAAATAAAAGTTCCCCAAGAGCGATCTCAGCTACACACTGGAAGAAGTGTTAAAATTCAGGATGATGAGAGTAAAGGCAAATAGAGCTTGGGGAAAGCAATTGGAGAATGAGGATAAAAAGACCCATGTGCCCCTTCTGCTAGAAGTGTGTTTCACATATGCTAGTTTCTAGGGAGAAAGCACTAATCTTGTATACAGAGGCCACCTCAGCTGCTCCCCTCTTCATCAGAACAATTCATGTCAAAAGTTCCTCTAAGGACAGTTTTTGCCAACCAGCTGTTCTCCTCTCATTGTAAGAAGTCACCTCCCTTGCTCTTTGGCTTCCTGGACCTCCAGATGAGATATGAATAGCCTTGTGCTAATGATACCCTAACAGTGATACCACAATAAGAGAGGTGGTAAACATACTCAGAGAAACTCCTGTGTGTTAGGTAACTTGGTCTATTAATCACCTCCTCAAGCAGTACAGCTTTAAGAACGTTCTCTGTGCAAGAGCCACATCTGACTACACATGTTACAAAGTTTTCATTTTTACCAAAGAGCACATTTTTTCCAAGCATCTTAGTATCTGTTGAACACGCATGAAACAGGGTAACAGCAGATTACATGCATGTTTTTCTTAAAGAACTGTTACATAATGGATCTACTGCTATAACCAATGAGAGTTATGCAATGATAGGCATAAAAGATCAGTCAACTGTGCAAAACTGAATTTTGGAAAGTGCCAGCACACACAGCAGAATATTTCACCTGCGCTTCATGATGTGCTGCTTTGCTTTCGCATTTTAGCTACTGTCCTGTTCCAGAAAAACATGCTGGAGTATATCAGATATATCCTTTCCACTACATGTTCAGCTGGACAACTTTTTTGACTTCTGAAAAAATTTATCAAAGAGGAGAAAATGGCAGTATTTCCTCTTAAAATCCTAGGAAAAAATTCTGCTTGTTCTTACAGCTTGTCAAGCTATCACTTAGCTCAGTTGTAGTAAAGACCAAGTCTGTTTATAAAAATGCTATATACAAAGGTCACTTAATGCAAATTAATTCTATACATTAAATTTTATCTGTCTTGCTGCAGTGGCAAAAGGATAGACTTCTGTAAATGTGAAGAATCAGCACAAGTGCTCTGACCTGGGGTACATACCGTGCTTCATAATGCATGCTACATTCCAATCATTTACATTTGAGCAGAGCAGTCAGACTGTGGAAATCAACCATAAACAATGAAGCATGAAGTTGCCATTTCAGGTGGTAGTTCCTTATTACTGATGGTGCTAAAGGAGGATGAACAACTCTGCAGTTTCATTATCCCAAGCAGCTTCTGTGGGATGGACAGTAAGCAGACCACATTCTGTGTACATAGAAGATACTGAAAGACTGAGAACTTGGGATTTTTTTAATAAGCACATCCAATATTCCTGGAAAAAGTTAGCCTTAGCTTTATATTACTTAGACAAAACAGAGACTATTGCCTTGGTTTCTGGAAAATAATATAGTGACAGTCAAGCAACTTTACCTTATGGAGAATCACGAAGTTTTGCTACAAAAGGGTCAAAGTTTGATAAATCTTGAGTTTATTTTTCTTTCCAAAAATACAATTTTGGCAGCATTTGAAATATAGGTAAATAATGTTAAACCCCAACAAACCTGAACTTGCTGGACTCATTTAGCAATGAGTATGTATCAGTCCAAGTTTAGATCACAGAGCTGCAATGCCGATTGTCCCTATTACTTAAAATAACTTTTATCCAGGAGCTGTGGAACTAATCTTGGCTTGATGTTAAAGTGCAAACACAGGCATGGAGCATGAACTAGGAAAATATTTATTATCTGTTTTCCTGTACAAGCACAAGTAAAAGCTGCTCTGCTTCACCTTTTTCAAAAGGCCTGTGCTCTTGTCCACCTCTTTTGCACACATCTCTGGGAAGCTTCAGCAATCACTGAAATTAATGCTCTCAGGAATTGCTATGGAGCAATTAATATAACATGAACGCTTTAACTGTGCATATCTATGCCTTCAAGTGTTTGAGCTTCTTTTAAATTAACCTCAAGTCTGCACTATTACACTTCAGTGATTGTGTTCTACTGTTAAATAAATTTTGATCTGTACCTTACACTAAGTTAAGCTTAATTTCATCACTAATTCATTATTTTAAATAGAGTTCATTTTAGATACAGTTTGCTTTGTTTATACAGGAAGGCTAGATGCTGAACAGCAACTGCAGCACAGTACACTGTAGGAATATCGCTGTCTCTCAGTGATCACAGTTCATTGCTTCTACAGGACTTGAATGTCTTCATGGTGTGCACTCAGCACTGCGGGTGGGTATACCCAGTTTCTTTGTTCCCTATTCTATGCATCACAGGCATGTCTTCGGGGAGCCTGCAGAGAAACTACTCACTCACCTGCTGCCCTCTCCTCTGCCTTTGCCATTGGCTAGCCAAAGCCGTTAGTAAGCGCTTATGGAGGAAGCAAATTCCCACACTACAATGCTGACAATCAAAAACCATTTGTACAGAAAGATTTTCTGACACAACTTGCAGACTAAGCACAACCTCACCAAACAGATTTGGCTTTGTTCGTTTGAAGTCTGACTAGTTGCTCCCAAGCAGATTTCCTCAAAATGACTGTATTGTTTATTCTTGCCAATTCTATACTCACGAAGAAAGGAATGAAAAGGAAGAAGACAATTGTGCTGCTGGTATGGAAATTCTTTGCGCGGGGGATGGACTAGATGACCTACGTTCTTTAATGAGTCAATGCAACAGCATCCACAGGGTGTGAATGAATTAAGAGTCTGGAGATCCCAGTAACGGATTTCTACTTCCCCAGCGATCCTAACCCAATAATCCCAAACCTAAAAACTTGTCCATATGAGGCAAGCACAGTAGCCCCTCTGCTATAGGTAGGGTGCAGTGAGAGGCCCTAATGCAGAAGATCTGTACTTTCCAGCATCTGCCTCTCATAGTCCATCCATATCCGCAAGTACTGTGGTGTATTTGTTTCACAAAGTTTGGCAAAGAGGACAAAAGAGGGTATCTAGGCATACTGCAGCTCAGCGATCCACAGAAATATGATTTGAGCACATAAAAGGAGGTTGGACTTGAAAATGCTATTAGTATGCATCTGTTCCAGGGTAGTGGCCAGCTCAGTAAGTGCAATGGGATGTACTTCACAGTATATTATACAATTGACATAGGATAAAAGGGCTTTACAGCACTTTGTAAGAGTTTGCAGTGGTGATAGCAGCCTGACAGTGTTAAGGCTCAAAACAGCGAAAGAACATACTGGGAATTCATGCCTGTTGCAGAGGCAGCACAGTTGATAATCCTGTGTCAGAACAGAAATGTCCCAAGTTTCAGGTGTATCTGACAGAATCAGGTTCAGTCTGAGAGTTTTTATTTCATGTACAGTAATAGTATCTGAATGGATGCTGATGGCCATTGCCAAAATTTAGTCCAGCTTCTGGCAGCACACAGAACAGAACTGTAGACTTAGGTTTTGTTCTTGTTTTCTTCTGTATCATTTCTGTGTTTTAGAGTAGTACCAATCACATGGCTTTTTGTTCCTTCTCAAATATCCATTTAAACAGAGACTAAAAAGACATCTGAACTCAAAGGCTCCCTGAGTTCTGTCTGTCCCACTACTGGGAGTGAGGGTGAACAGAATTCAGATGTCTGCACCACTTCAGCTAGATACCCAGCAAGGCATAGTATCGGATTAGAAAAAGACCCTAACTCTAGAGGATGCAGACACAAAGGTTGTGTGCCAGCATTTAAACAGGGAGGTGAGAAGCTATCACCAAGACCCTGGAACAGAAATCAGGCACACAGTAAAAGGGCACAAAGGTAAACCTGTAGGCCTGAGGAGTTAACAGAAAGTGCAGAAAGCAGTCTGGTAGAGCAGCTGGAGGATGGCAAAACCAATATACAGCATAGCTACAAAGAACAGAAGGCAGTAAACTTATGTAAAGGTACTACAATAAAAACAATAAGCAATATTATTGTTTTATCTAACAGAAGGAAAAACTATACAGTAATTTTTGTCCTTTATTCTATACAAAGGAATTACATAACACAGTTAGGAGGGTTTCCATTATGCATCTACCCACAAAGGTTAATACTGTGCAAACCCTCATAATCCCAAAATGAAATCTCAAGCAGATCTCAATCAGTTGTAGTCACAAAGATGCTGTCATCTTGTATGTTATTGTCTTTAAAAAAAAGTTTTGCAGGCCAGATCATACATCCTTTCAGACATGTACAGATCCAACTAATGTACTCTCTCTGTTCATCACTGCAGTACTTCAAACACTTCTATGAGTTCTCAAGATAACTTTAAAGAATTCACTAGCAGTGATTAAATTCTAATGTACAGAACAGGATATTACAGCAACAAAAGCTTGTTTCTGGTAGATATTTATTACATTACCAAATTAATTTACCTGGAAAATCTTTCAATGCAAAGGATTTTTTTCTGTACCTTTAAATACAGAATATGCATTTGGACTGTAAATTGTAAAATATTCCATTCCACAGTTTAGTAACTGGAGAAATATGAACATAAGCATATTTATTAAAATACTTAACAAAAAGTCCATGTTCTCAGAATGTATGATTTATCAGTGGGCCTCACTGTCACAAAGTATAATTGAGACCAGGGCACATACGAGTTTAAAATAAAAACAAAAATCAAAACCCACAAATATGTACATTGTACACTGCACAATTCCAGGAGAATGTATGGTTTTATTTCACTAATACAAATCAGGAAATTGCCTTGATAGGTGAATTACTAGACACTTGTTTGTTAGAAGGCTTCTTAAGTCTTCCTTGGAGACAAGAGTCTTCACAAAGCATACACCAAATAGGTACCTCATAGCGCAAGTGTTTCTCTATTTTTCCCGTAAATGCAACTGGTTTTCTGCTTTTATTAATTTTATTGAAAATAAAACTAATATATACTTCTAAAATTAGATACTTACAGTGAAAATACCCATTAGCTGAGTGTAAAAGAGTCCACTTATTCCACCTAATATTATTAGACCCATGAAGGCAGATATTCTTAGGAGAGCAAGTTCATGTCTAAATACAAAAACATCCTAGAACAAGACAGAAAGAAGAGAGAGACTTTAGCTCTTACAAATTAATTTAAGTCTTTGAACCGAGTGGAAATACTAGACAAGAGCTCTTCCCAAAGACTTATACCTAAAGGCAAATATGGAATTTTTGAGCTACATTGCAAATCATTGATACATTTATGTGCTAAAATTATAAACCAGTTGGGGCTTTTTTGCCAGACTGCTAAAAAACCTCATTCAGGTATTTAAGGTTTGGGAATAGATTGAGCTGAATGGGTTATTCCTGATTCTGTCATCTCATGCTGTGCCAGATTGCTACACAGAAGCTCCAAAACATACGAAAACCACTCTGTTAAACAGTCTGATTTATGAGACTCCTCTATCTCAGCTCCCAGCCACAGCAAATTTCATTTTAACTTCACCTCTTTTGTAATAAAAGTAACAACATTCCTAGCTTGACTCTTGCAGATGGTACCTACAAAATCCAAGTATCTGTATTGGATTGGTCTCATTGTAATGCTGTCTATTATTCAACATAAACTTATCTTCATCTTTTAAATTTTGGCCTTAAGTGGATTATTGTAACTTTGGATATGGATGCACAACCAAGTTGCCTCAGGGTGCAGGAGAATATGAATTTACTGTATCAGCTGCTCTGGAAAGCCTGCTCTCATCCAGCAGAAAATATGAAAAGTGTAAGAGAGTTGTTTAGATCTTCTTCAAAGGATAAAACACCTTATTTTTATCACAGGAAAACATTTGTACATGGCAGTTACTGTAGATGTACTGCAAGTTCACAACCCATCTTACCCTTTGATAATGAGTTAACCCACCCATTCTCTTATTTATAAGTTACGATTATGTTCTCAAGGCTGTCTTTTGAATGTACACATCTGTTTTTCCACTTAGAAAAGCCAGATCACAGCAGGAAACTATTAAAACCTTTCAAGTAAACTTTAAATTACAACCAGAACATAAAAGTGAACTGAAAAAAAAAACCCACAAAAAACCCACTGCTTTTGAACTTTCCTTCTTTACATTCAACCAGTAGGACTTAAGGAAAAGGAATTTTTAGATTCAGGAATACTGGGTTTTAATTAAACAGAGAATAGTTAGAGCAAATTATATTTAGTAAAGAGGTCTGGGTTTAGATTTAAATTATTTCCATGAAGGTTCAAAATATAAACCCAGGAAAATAGTTTATACTGGCTACCAAAGCTGTGAAGAAAGTCAGTATTTAATGAACAAACAGAAACCACTAGTTAATCAGCTAAAACAAAAAGCAAACCCCAACAGTCTTTTCTGAACTGGTAAGCCAGCTCTTCTTAGTATTGGCCTTCCTTGCTGCTGTAGAATATATATGCTTAATTTTATTTTTTTTTAAGTGTTCTTACTCAGTTAATGACTTAATTCAAAGTTAAATCAAATAAAAATAAAAGCATTCATACTAATTTTTATTCCCCTTTCCACCAGCCCACCAAAGCTTTAAAGAAAAGCAAGGTAAGACCAAGTTCTAGCTGTAAAATAGCTTCCCTTCCTATCTTCATAGGTATGTTTTACAATATCAGAAATGTTTTAATGTATTCAAACTCAACTTGACAGAAGACAGTGAAATGTAAGAGAAGAGTGCCAACAGTGAAGTCACGTTCTGGATCTAGCATCACACTCCCCCATTAAAAAAAAGTTTGTGACACAGCTCTTAGCATTCCCCCAACATTCTAATTAGAAGAGTTCTTCTCTTGAGCATCATCTTCAGCAGGAAAAACAGACATCACTCAACACATGACAACAGAAAACCCTAGTGTAAAGACGGCAGGTTGCTTTTCGCATTTGGCCCTTCTAACCCATGTTAAAACTAGAGGTACAGAAAAGGAAAGACTTTTCATACTGAAGTGAAGAACAAGGAATACTACTCTATGTTTCTTTCCTTCCTTCCTTAAGATGAAGCATCTACTGCAAAAGACTGGGGGTTGCTGAATTACTAGTGAGAACAGGTGTGACATCACCAATGTTTGTTCCAGCCATTACACAACGGTAGGCGAATCAAAGTCTCTGAGGCAATGATGACCTGGAAATCAATACTGGGGGCTCACCTAGCAATCTGTAGACAGAACAGCATTTTTCTATAGAAAACCAAAGTATATGCAGGAATAGAGTCTTCTGATAATCAGACCTTTAATAACAGAGCTACTTTCACAATTCTACATTCAAACAGAAACATGTGACTCCACAAAAATAGGAAAAAAAGACCATTTAAAAAAATCCATTTAAATCACAGTAATCGTAATAATTATACATTTAGGATGTTGCTGCTTTACGTAACAGCTCAACTCAATTTATTTTTATTTTTCCTTCTCAGAACGGACAAAAACATTTTTCCCAGCTAAGAAAACCAATCAAAACTATAATAAATCAATCCCCAGGACTAGTCAATAATTAATCAATCCCTCTTTCAATGTATTTTGAACAGATCCTCTTGTTCAAACAGCATTTAGGACTCACCAATCTCAGTGCAGTGCAAGGACTGAGACAGCCTGCCCCCCACCTCCAAAATCACACTACCTGTGCTAAGAGAAAGAACTACACAGACTGAGACACAAAGCATAAGCACACGTAAGCTAACATCACCAATGCATGAACCCTCTCTCATGGCACAACAGGGTTTTGTCCCATAGCAGGTTTTTTCCACGTTGGGCCAGGCTGACATATGTGGCCTTGGCACAGATGTTAAATGCACAATTTTAACAATGTGAAAGCTGCCCTTCAGGTAGCCCCTTTCTCCTCTCCTTTTTGTCAACATCACAACCTAACTGCTCTGTCAAAACTTCAGTTCACATGGGTTGCTGCCATCCTCTTTCTACTTAGCATTTCCTAGACAGCTCAGATGTGCCCTCCCCCAGGCTGTTGCATGTTCTAAAGGTTTTTAAGTTCCCTTTAGCCACTACTTCGTCCAGTCAAACTGCAAGGATTCTTGGCCACTTATAAAAATGGATAGAAATGTGTACAACAGAAACTTGTTGCAAAATAAGAAACAAAGTATAGGTCTGTAGGATTATGTTGAGAAATGGATTACAAACCATGAGATCTGGCATCTTTATCTTACCAGGCAATACCAAAACATTCCACAGAAAGCCAGTCTCCATGACACATTCACACGAGACTTCCTCAACGCCATAGCAGAACACATGCCATCTCTTCATTTGTGAGCATCAACTGTTACGGATGATCCCTACAATGAATGCTATGATTGACTAGGAAAACAGCTATTACAGCTTTATGCTATCATACAGGAGAGAGGTCAAAAACAACGATGGGTCCAGCTTAAGATCATAATCAGTTATATGACCACTGCTTCCAAATTCAACTTTCTTTTTACCCTACTAACACCACCACAAAAAAAAGAGGCATGAAAACATTTAATGGGTCTCTGTCATTTGCAGTACTGGGTCGTTATTTCTAAGGGTTTACAATATTCCTTTAAAAACAGCACACTCTGTACAGCAGACAGAGGTTTCAGCAGGACCAACACAGGACTATTGTGTCTGTTCCAGAAGAGACAAAGTGAAAAACAACCTTCATAAATTCTCATTTACAGTGTGAGATTCATTTATTCAGTCTTGATTCTTTACTCAAATACGATATACACAGAAATTTATATACTAACAAAATATACTAGGATACTCCATCTTTCTCTTGGGGAAGGGATACTTCATGTAACACATGCTAACGTGCTTGTCTGTTCTCAGTTGCAAATGCCCAGGATGTCTGTCCCAGTCTGGTGATTAAGTCAGTCTATCAACTCTGCTATCATAAAAACAGTGTAGAATACAGAACAAAGCCAGGATGTTGGATTCAAAAAAACAAAACAAAAAATACAGACTGCAGGTTTTGCAGGAAGAAAGAGGAAGGAGAGGTACAAGGGAGAAAATTTGCTCATGTAAAGAAAAAAATAAAAGAAGAAAATTAATTCACAGAACACGAGCTGCATTCTAATAAGCACTTTTGTAGAGATATTTATTATTAATAACAACTGATGTTTATGTAAAGCACTTTTTGATTGAGGTCTATTTCAGGTTTGCTAAATGAGTAATTTTCCAGTCTGATTCATGACTGATTTGGTTTAAAGTGAAAATGGGAATAGCACTCTGGTTCCAAAACCAGTTGCCTACAGAGTTCAATCCAAAGTGATAATTTTGAAATAATTTCAGACTAGAACAGACTTTAAGAAAATCCATACAATCTTTGCATAAAAATGACAATACCAGTATAGTAAGTTATAACAAAATTTTATCCTCTCAGTTGCTCCTATCTTTTCTCTACAGACAATGTATTAACTTTCTAAGCCTAATTCAATATTCATATGCTGTCCTTATAATTACACAGGAGGAGAGCAGGGTTAGGTTGGTTTTGTAGAACACTGAGAAGGAAAATTTTGATGTATTTTTAATTTTTTAAAAACTCACATCCTGTAGGTCATTTCATGACCCTAAAAGAAAAAGTTTCCTTTAGATTGTCTTTACAATATAAATGGACTTTGCATGATACATATTTCCAGATTTTAATTAATGTTAATATATAATATTGAAATAAATATTACCGTAAAGAATCTTCTCACAAAGTCTAGTGAATATTTCCCAACACCTTTTATTTGGAATTGGGAAAGCTGAGTGTCAGACAGAGCAGGCTGATATTGCCACAATGCCTCTTCCATGATGTTTCCTTCCCCCTCTACCAATAGAGCTCAGAACAGTTTAAAAATTAGTTAAGTAACAAAACTTTCATAATATACAACGGATAACTGCAGAACCAGGAACAAAATAAAACTAAACCAGAACAAAGGGGTTTAGGTTTTTTTATGACAGTGTTTTTTGCTATGACAATCATTTGAGCAACATTTCTAGCAAACAGAATGTATCACCAAAGGTTCTTTCGCTGAAAAGATTAAAAGCCTTCTATGAATTAGGTAAAATGTACTGCCAAAGCATATATTTTTGCTTCTACTTGACCAGCTGTGTCGAGAATCTGTGCCAGCACAGCCATGTAGAGAGCAACTGTAGTCATGAGAAGACTAGTATTTATTCTTCTCATCTCACTATCCACAGATTGAATACTTCCTAAAAGATGCAGACTTCCTGACCTTGATGTTTTTTAATGAAGATGCAAAATTAAGAACGTTCCAGTCTTAGCCTCTGAAAATCATCAAAGCTAGCAGAGGAACTCATATGCTGTTTTATTTGAATTATATATCTTTCTTCTGCTAAGATCTCACATAGACAATTTAATTACCACTTCCTTCATTTCCAGCAGTAATTGTACTCCTCCTGCTGGACAAACAGATGTAATAACCACAATCCATCTTTCTGACTGCATCAATTACACACACCAAGAATACTATGAAGTGATTTTCTGCTATAAGACCTGAAGCTGAAAGATGGTATCTTTATTGAAATGGCTTCCTCCATTAGCTATAAAGTTATCACCCTTACCTTAGCATACTTAATTAAAAGTGTTTGGGTTTTTCTTCCTTAACCCTAAAATTAAAACCACAAGCTTTCATTCAAAAGGAAATACTAACATGCATACAGTGATCATATTTTCATAATGCATTAATCAGTATTGTGATAAAATTATTATTTCACAACAGCATTAAGAGCAATTTTAATTCTACAGCTTCTGTGTCATGTACTATTTTATATCCAAAGAATATAAATTAAGATGAAGGCACACTGCCAAAACATTCACAAGTATTTTTAATCAGCAGAAATAAGGTAATTCCAGATGGCTGTTTAGAAAAAACTATCCATTTTTTCGATTGTGTGCTAAACACTAGCCCCTGTCGGTTCAGAAAATGCAAGCTCTTGGTTACAGCCAAAATTTCGACAAAGAGTATCACTTCCATGAAAGGTAGAAGGTACTGTGTGCTCTGGAATGCTGTGGTACTTCAGCTTTAATTTATATATAAAGACTAAAAGAACGTTGCAGGATGTTTGCCTAAAAACCTAACTAATATTAGGCAAACCTTCTCAGTGTTCCTATTCATTTGATGTCAAAATTACGTAATTCTGATAACTTATTCTGTGGCACAAAGTTATACAGCATCATATCCTTAGCAATACTTTTAAAAAATCAGCTTAATGGGACTCTGATGTCATCTTCCAGGAAGATATATTGACTAGACAGCCAAACAAATTATTCTTATTTTCTGTTCTTCAGTGTGGGTCCCCCAATCCTGCAACTGAAAAAACGAGAAAGCTAAATACTATTCAATGTAATACTAGACTTAATAAAGGTCTGAACAGACCAGATCTGCTGTGTCTACTAAGTTTTGCTATACAGTGTAATCATATTTCTCTCTCTGGCGCACAGAATGTTAGATACTGTAACACAGATCCAGTTTTTTCAAAAGTAAGAGTGTCATTTGAAGTATCCACATATGCAAATTGATAAAGGCAAAAACCTCACAGCTAAAACTAAACAAAACTAAACAGAACAAAGTACTCCATTTTTTCCATGACTCTGTGTAAATTTAGGCAGCCAAGCATGGGAACCTGATCCACTCTTCAGGCAACTACATTAAACTGGGTTAAAATAATGATTGCATATGTATTCTGCCTCCTAAAGGAGGCATCTTCTAAAGGGTAGATATTATAAGTAGGTCTCTCTCCAAAAGACTTGACAGTTAAACCATCAAGAACAAAGTTTCATACGTATTAATTCTTTGAACTGTTATTATTAATAACTATTTATTATTACCTCTTTAGAAGTTGTAAACTGTCTGAAGTAAACATGAGTTCCCTTTTCCTCTCTTGCACAGACCATCTCCAAGCAAATAATTGGTTCCCTTTCATCCCGCTTTTAAAAAGCAAGGCTAACAGAACTTGGGTTTGTTATCTAAACACAGTGTAGTTACTTAAAGTAAGTTAGAGCATTCAGGGGACTGTCATGATAAAAAGGAAATATTCTACCATGAAATTATATTATTTGAGAAGCACTGCCAATTTCATACAAAGATCTTATCTTCAGAAAATAACACTCCTTCTAGATGCACTGCAGTACCCAATCCAGCATTCAGATCAGTATTATTGAGAAGGCCTTGTGCTTGAAACCTGCAAACCCTGTGCACGGGAAGCCTTCAGAATATGGAAAGTGTAAGATTAGTCTGACCAGAAACATAGTAAGTTAACTTAGTTTATAAATTAAAAATAAGTTTACAAAGCTCCTGAAACTAGAAGCAAAGGCATTTACATTTAGTTACCTTTCAAAAACATTAACTTTCCAAAAACCCAAAACGTAACATATCCATACGAAATTTTATTTAGACAACAGACTTCTTCACTAATACAGAAAGACTGCAATTTCATATCCCTTTTAACTTGAATGCAGCTACAACAAATCAAAATAGCTCCCTCAAATCTCACAATGCCTGTAAAACAAAGTGAATACGAAAAGCCTATCTGCAACAAACTGGAAAAAAAGTGAAAAATATGAGTACTCCATTTTAAGAGACACATTCTACAGGTCTGTCTCAGTTTACAGGGCAGTGTCTGTGGCAAGATGCTTCAAGCAGACAGCAAATTCTTCCCTCTTCTATATTTCTAGAGCCCCTTAAACCACTTAAATGGAAATATTCATATAGGTGAAAAAACTAAAAAATGAAATTCTTTTAGAATACAAGTTATTTTAAGAGAGATTTGCAAAAATCCTCAACTTTGGTACATTCCACATAATAAAAAGCCGGTATCTATCAACTTGAATGTAACACTTTTATCAGTTCTGGATGATCCAAGGAGTCCAGTCTTCCTACATTTTCAGCTCTCCTTTGACACATCATCTTCACATACACTTTCTTGGGAATATCACATCTACTGCAGACTGATATGGGAGCATACAAGAGGCTTGGAAGGCTATGCCCCATTCTTTTCCAGAAGTAAATTTTTTCAGGAAGTTTAATATTCTTATTTTATGCCATTTAGGATACAAAATAATATAACAAACTTAAGTTGTTCATCAAAATGGAAAACAGGATTTGCCTCACCCACAACCAGTGGCCAGCCTCCAGCAGCCTTGAAAGACGGGTGTGACATCACCAGCAGAGAGTATACTGGGGTGTCACATCAACGTGGAATAAACAAGTCTGCAGCACTTCAGTAACTGGAAAAAAATCTCAACAAAATTTAGAGTACACTACCAATTTCAGGGATGGTCTTAGTCTCTTCACTTAGGACATCCTGAATGTTATCTAACTTTGAATATGTTTTAGATTTGTTTTCTAGGGTTTTCTCTTTTGTGCGCTTATATTTGTTATAGTCCAGTACAAATACAAAGTCCATTTTAAATTTTGGGTAGAATTTTTTATGTTTCTTTATGAGCAAGATCTTGTAACATTTTCTTCAAAAGCAAGAATATCAGCTTTGCTGTTCTAACACTTTCAAGTATTCAGCAACTTTCAAGCAAGTCTCTTGAATATTCTGAACACAACAGATAATAGACATAAATGAGTACCAGACACAGAGACTTTACAACTTCAATTCCATAATGGAAGAAATTCCATAATTTTTACTCTATTCCAATCTATTCCAATTGCATTTTCTCTGTCTGTATGTTCAACTGTGTTTTGCTGATGACAAGATGTTGAAATATGATAATGGCATAGAGTCCAAATAAAACAAACCAAACTTAATTCTCCCTTAACCCACGCGACCTTTTCAAAGCTTCTCACAAAATATTGCTTCTCAACCAATGTAGATTTTTCTCCTTTCAGAATGATCATATGTTTTTTCTCATTTTTCTGGCAATATCGGCATTTTTAAATAGGGACTTAGGATAGATATATATGCTGCATAAATTTACCTTGGAGAGATTAGAAAGAAATTTGAATATACCTAAAGTAGTTACCTTGCTTCTTCCCAGTATTCACTAATCACTTCTAAAAGAACCTAACTGGTTCTGTCCTCCCTTCCTAGATTTCTAAGAAAACTAATGTTGTGTTTTTAACACACAGAAATCATATACCTTTTTAGAATATTGTGTTACTTACCATAAATCAGTTTGCTTACTTGACAACATACATCTAGTTGAACTCTATTCACTGTCAACAACTGAGCCAGCATAAACATGTAGTAACTAGATACCAAAATAAATTACATTGCAGTACTAGCTATTTATTCACTTCATAGAGAAAAATGATTCTTACCCAGTTTCCCTTCTTCAGAGGCAAAAAGTAGTAGTAATGGCAGAAATCAAGTATCAGCGTATAAGAACTAAGGATCTGAGTGTAGAAACACAGCTGTAGAAACAGCCAATGATTGTCTTCACCAACACAATTATTAATCCTGTAGAGAAACAAAGAGTATATATAAACACAGAAATATAAAGATGTTAACACCGCAGTTATGATATTGTGAATAAGAGAAGTGATGATTATTTATGGAGCAAACATAAGAACTACTGACTAAACACTCCATCCTTAATCGAAGTGATGATCTCTATGTTAGAGATGGCAGTTACTGTAAAGCATGGTTTCCTTATACTGCCACTTAAAGTGTAGGTTGCATTACTGAGATCACTGCTTAGAACAGGAGACACATTTCTCTGTATCTTCCTATACCAAAGATACTCCTACAATTTTAAGTAATACTCAAGTAACAATTTTTTTTTTAAAGTCCGCAAAGTTTCACAGTAATACATATTATCTTCTGCAAATCAACACATTTCACTGGTTGTGAACTATGTTGAGTCCAAAAACTGGAAATACAAATGAATGGTTTGAAATAAACGTGACCACAGCATACCCCAATGAGAAATAAGCATGACTTAGGAAGGACCCTAAGACACAGAAGACAAAACAAGCATCTCTATTCTGAAACTCCTTCTGCATATAACATAAAGGAGTAAGAGAATCACAAGGATTCTAGAAATATTAAGCACGAGATTCAAAATCTTTGAAATCTACATCTAGTCTGCTTCACAGAAGTTATGCTGATGCAAAAAATGTGATCGGGGTGCAATTTCATACAAGCATTGGCACAGACAGCAGTACCAAGCTAAGCCATAATGACAAAAAGCACTATACTGGCACTATTTTCAGAAGTAGCGATTGACAAAAAAGGTAGTTTGAAAAATGGCTAAATCAACATAGGAGGATCCTGGTGTCAATTTTGTCCTCTGCAGTTCATCATTGCTGTCTTGCTGGAAATGATACCTCAGAACTACCGACAGAAATGTTTATGTTCATTTTAAGCTACAAACAATCAGTTTAAATAGACAATTTTAGCCAGGTTACTTCATTTTGACTGAAACTAGTTAAAGAACACTAAAATAAGCAATTTCACTACAAAATCAGTGAGGCTATGACAAGTGGGGCATGGTATGAGTCAATAACATTTTCTACTTAGCATAGCAATTTGGTAAACTAAAAACCCAAAACTGTCTGAAACCATGATCTGTTTTTATTATTATAAAGAGCATCGCCTCTTATGTTGAAATTGTAATCTTTTATTTCAATCCAAGAAACATAAATATTTGTCTATTTCCTACAAAACAAAATTTTTTCCAGCATCAGAAACTAAATTGCAACAAATGAAATAAATCTTCAATGTACAAATCAATTATTTTGATCAGTTTTAGGAGTAAAAATTCCAATTCTTTAAACAAAATATGTGAATTTTGCAAAACTATATGGCACATAACAATTTGACAATGCTAACATGTTACACTGCAACAGTTCTTACTGTCAAGTTTTACCTGCAGACATAAGGAGTCTCAAAGCTGTTTTTTCCCTGCTCTAAATGCCTAAATGATTAAGCACTACTGGGAAAGAAATATGACAAATGAGCAATAGTCAAGACCATGAACTTTGAAATGATTCACTAAACCAGTAGATTGTTAGAACAAATGTCCTGGTCTTACCATGGACAGTGGTGATCCATCCTCCTCACGCAATGTCCACAACGACTGCAATGGTGTGAACGCTTTGGTCTCATCATATTGCATTTGTTACATAATTCCCAGTATTCTCGTTCTAGGTTAAAATGTAAAGAAAGACACTTTAGAGAGATTTAAACTCAGTACAGCACGCTCATGATGAATCTATATCCTAGTGATTCAAAGAGAAAAAAAATCTTACTGTATTACATTCTTATATATAAGCAGCATACAAAAAACTTTTTTCCTACTGTCATCTTAATTAAACTGGAAGATATTACTGCCACTCTGTGCCAGTTTTCTTCTCCAAAATCATCTCTCCTCCTATGTCTTTCTAGGGAGTAATTATTACAGCACAAAAGCTGTCACTCAAACAAGGAAGACCGTAATTCAATTATTTTCTTACATGTCTACTGTGAAAAAAAACTATCTGCTAGACAGAAGCATTGTACAATCTCCCTGCCATTCCAAAACCTCCTGAGGAAATACTGCTACTCAAATTTGTCAGAGCTAGCTAACGAAAATAAAATACACAATGAACACTTCAGGAGCATCTTCCATCTCAAAGCATTTTAAGACATGCATCTCACATCATGCAATTTTACACATAAGGCAACCAAAGAACAGATAGAGAATAGGCTTGTATTTAAAAAGATACAATATTTTTGGATGCCCAATGTGAGATTCTTTATGCTGATCTCCAGAGATACTGAGTAGCTGAAACTACCAGTACCTACTACTGCTCAGCTTAGCTATTATTTATCTCAAATTGCACCATCCAAATTAGAGGAAGCCTTTGAAAATAAGCATTCAAATTATATATTCAGAAAGTTCATCTTCACATGGGAAACAAATCACACCAACGCTGTAATACTTCCATTCACAAAAGCATATATTTTCTGTCTTTAAGGAAAATAGGTACATGACTGAGAATCTTAAATATTTTGACTAGTTGTTTCTAGTTCTTTGATGCAGAGAAATTTCTTAAATCCCAGGGGAAAAAAAATAAGCTTAGCTTTTACAGTAGGACATTCTGAAATTTTATACGGTAAAGCACTGTCCCTATGTAAACAAAATAAAGTTAAATTTAGCACTTCTGAGCCACCTGCAGGCAGCTCTAATGTTGTCTTTCTTGCTGCAAAACAACATTTGGACACTGGAAGTAACAAAGCCCAATATCTGAGATCATTAAACTAGTAATAATGCCAGATGGAAACTGATTTACAATCTGTTCCCATAAATACAGTGTCACAAAGGTGTCACTCCCTAATAGGGTAGCTACCAGCAGAGTTCAGAAACACCCCAACCTCATTTTTGAATACAATTTATACTATGCAAAAATGTATCTTCCTGTCAACCTAAAGAATACCAGAGAACTGAAGTGCTACTTCAGAAAGTAAAAAACCCCTGACATAGCACACACCAAATCATATTAATCAATGTCATAGTCAAGCCTAAGTGTTCCATCTTCAGAAGTATCTATGAAGTATCATTGCCATATGAAATGAATGGAGCATGAAGAGGTGGGAGAGCTATTCAAAGGGATCCCTTAAAAGAGAAAGAAACATTTGTGCCCAAAGGGAATTTGTACTGGTCCTGGTATTTTGCAAGTAAATGAACATTCAGTCATAAATGCAACTGTCTGTAACTGTACTGAGTGTCTTCATTCTCCAGTTCAGGTTGCAGATTCCATGTTGTTCTTCCTGCAGCAAGAACTCTGACTGCAGAACCCAAAGTCTGACCCACCTTCCATTTTACTGGATCAAAGGATCAGTTACCAGGAGCAGAAAGAACACTGACATGAGATTTTCTGACATCAGTGTTTCACTTCTGAATCCCAGGGAGATACATCTCTTCCGACTATCTGCTGCCTAGTTTGTGCACACCACTGTAACAACAGTGCTGATGCTAAACAAATCATGTTTCCAAACACATCATCCTAGATTCTCACTAACATCAGGAAGAGAGAGCAAAATGTTACTCCTGGCATCCACCACGCTGCAAGACAAGACTGAAGTATTTACACCTCACAGCATTTGATATGTTTTCTACATTCAGAAAGTATTTTCTGTTTATGTGACAAAGCTCATACCATTTAATAGCCCTACTCCATTCTAAACTGCTATGTAAAAGCTCTATGCATTAGACAAGCACCTTAATAGCATCAAACAGTTCACAAAAATATTGGCTTTCTCTGTGGAGAATTATTAAGGTTTTAAATTTCCTCCAGTTTCTGGAGCATCGGATACCATATGGGAATTGTGGGATGGATTCACAGAAAATGGAATTCAGAAACAGAAATGAATTGTCACATGTTAAGTTGCTACTCTATAGCAAGGCAATATAATTAGCGTCACATTTGTTTGGTTAACAGCCCATACAAATGTAAGTCACTGAAAAAAATTTGTAAAAAATGCACAAGTAAAATCCAGCTTAAGAGTACCTTCTACCATCACTTTCAATGTCTTATAAATTTACTTAGAAAAAAGCTGTAGAATTATAATGACTAATCATCTCTAAACACTTTTCATTAAATATTATCAAGTTAGAAGTATATGCAATATGTTTGAAAGCCCAGAATGCAAAAAAAGTTCTTCCCATGGAAAAATTTCCTAGCAGAAGTTCCTACATAACTAAACTTCTGACGGAATAGAAGTTTTGAAAGGAAGTTTTGAGTCTACACAAGGGGAAGTGCTAGAAATGTACAAGATAAAAACAGTAACATACCAATTTTAATTTCATTAACAATATTAGGCTTCAGCAAAGACAGCTCATGGTTTCCATCAAATCTCATAAAATCAAACTGATTCCTAATTATTTTGAGGACATCAAATTATATAGAAACAACCTTATGTACCTGTAATCGGTATCTTTGGGTTTTCAGGTAGCTTTCCTGGATCAGCTACCGAGGCTCTTAGTAATGAAGCTATACAAAACAATGAGCAGAAGTAATAACCTGAAAAAATAAATAAGCATTTGTTAGTCTTTTTCAGGTGTACAAAATATCTACTGTACACTGCATCAAAAATATAGATGCTCCAGCACCGAGTTGAAAATTACTCAGCCTTCCCATTCAATTCCAGATATATTTTTGGTACCATACAGTCTACAATATTAAGTACTCCCCAGTCTTAAAAAGGGAGAGGGACAGGAAATGGTAGCAGTGAACACTGTTTTGATAGCACCACCAGGACGCCATTATGACCCTACTACTGTATTTAAGAAGTTCCTCCACTGTCTTATCAAATAAGCACCATTCTACACCTCAAAGCCTCTATGTGAAAAGACATTTCGAGTAGTCCATCTTTGCTTTAAAGTTGGTTTCAGTTATAATTCAAGCCTTCTCCCCAGCAAAACCTATTAGCGTAACTCATATTAGCTGACAAATTCAAGTTTGTGAACCATCAGCACTACCACCCCAAATTCTGACAAGCACTAAGAGTTGTGGGCCTGAAATTCTGTCAAGTTCTAGCTACAGGATGTGAAAGCCATATTAATGCTTTTCCCCAGTTTCCACATGAACAAGTTTTACCATAACACCTTTGAAATGAATGAAGTATCTCAACTTCTCAGAGCATAATATGTAGGATGCATCCCAGTACTCTTATACTTTATCTTTATCCTTCACATTATTCTTTATTTTCTGACCTTTCTCATACATGTTAACTACTGCCCAAAGATAACTATTTTCACTAGTAGAGAAAAGGGCTAAATCGACTTACACAAAATTGCTACAACTGAAATATGTCCCTCTTCATAGTGAGGAAAAAGGATGACTTTTGGAATGAAGATTGTATTGTACAGCCAGACAAAGATAATCAGGCCCATGCAGCACCAACCCTGGGGGTCAACCACAAAGTGAATTCGTCGTCCCATTGAACACAAACAGTTAATAATCTCTCACGACCCAGGAAGAAAAGATTATCCTAGAGAGATTAAAAAAAAAAAAAAAAAAAAAAAAAAAAAAGAGTAAATCAACCAATATCATGCAACCTACAGGGTTCCACATACATTCAAATAGGAAAAAAAACCCCTGTCAGCTATGTATTTAAGGAATTAAATGAAAACTTAAAGACATTTCACATACCCTGTTCAGGTACCAGGAAGAGAAACATTTTATGATTTCATTTATTAGTTACACCTCGCTAAAAAGTAACATTTATCATCAAGATGGAAGTAAAACAAGTACCTGGGAAAACTATTAAGTAATATGTAAAGCAAGCAACTGTGAGCAAGATAGCAGCAGCAAAGGATATAAACATTACAGAAAAGAAGTCTCCCATCAAAATAAAAAGTTTGCAAAGCAAACAAGAAATACAGGGAATCATTTATGTTATACAAGGATTCATCCTACCTACCTATCATAGTCTCCCAACTATATTTGAAGATTTTTTTTAAAAGCTTGTATGCTAAAATAGTCACAGGCTTCCCTAGGAATCTGTAATTCTTCTCTGCTTAAAAAACCTCCTTCATGGCATTTATAGCAAAGCAACAGAGAAAGGAACCACACTACCCTAACATCTTTCATGTAGATCATTAAGCCGTATCATACAATAGTAAGTTTTCTCACTATTAATCACACTTAAAACATCCATTCTGATAGTGTGCTGGGCTCTTTTTTAGTTTAGGCTGAAGAAACCCCACCAAGTCCTACAGTATGAACTTCAGAGCTTCATAAACTGATCTTCATAAAAATGCAGCATGAAGTCGTAAGCACTATTCAGCAGAACCCTCAAGGGAAGGATTACTACTGTTAGTTTTTTTGCCAGGCTGCCTTCATATACGTATCTTAATACTGCAACACACACATAAACTCCAAGCTACTCTCCTACACATTAGTCTCCCTGATTTCTGGGCTTCAGGGAACTTGACAATTTCAGATGGATTTCCTTCCACTCCTTTCACCTTCTACTTGTTGCATTGAAATTTCACCTTGTTTATCAGACATCTCTGTTTCCAGGGGTTTTGCTCTACTTGTTTAATGTTTGTCTATCCTCACTTGCATTCACCATTTCTCTGCTTAATATTACCCACAAGTTTCATTAGTCTTGTTTCCTTCTTTTTCGAGATATCTCTAGTCAAAATCAGACCCAAATAAGCTGATATTTTTCCACGCTTCTCCTATGCAGTATTTATCATCACCCTTTGCTTGCTATCTTCTAGTAAAACAGCATTCCCATTCGAGTATAGCAGAGTATTAAGTGCTAATTTTTATCCTAAAAAGGCATCAGATTTGCTAACACTTGTTTTATAAACCCATGTTGCATACTGAACACAGCTACTGTGCCCTTAAAACTGTTTTTAAGTTCATGATAATCACAAAAAGAACTATTTAGGCCTATATTTACTATTTTTTTAAATTTTATTATACATAGCATTTATGCATCATAGTCTGTTGTATACATGGTATTAATATACTACACACATACGTACAGTCTCTAGACATATAAATGATGTAGTATTATACTCCTGAATCTGCCAGTTCTTCATGTGCCTCTGTTGTAAGCTAGCTTTGGCAACCAGCAGGTTTAGAACTAAAAAACATTTCATATCCTTCTAAGCATGCACTGATGGAGGATGTGTCTCATCAAGCAAAGAAGCTGTGGGAGGTGACCAGACTGTACAACACTAGGGATGCTGAAAAGGAGATGGACCAGAACCCCTCCAAGACCCTGCAGCTACATGAACCCCCACTGCACTGAGGGGAAGCAGGCAGAGCCTTAGCTTGTCAGGCTGGGCATGGAGATGCTGCGTCTGGCAAAGCCTGGGAGCTTGTGAGGTCCGGCACCAGGAGGATGGTTCCTGCTCTGCTTGCAGCTCTGATCTACAGAGCAGGTTCTGAGCCCTGGCAGCTGGCAAAGACAAGGAGCTCTGTCCAATGAAGCTTCCGAGCTGGCTGTGCCCAAGTCCTGTGGCAGCGTGGGCAGGACAGAGCAAGAAACAGTGGTGAGAAACACCTTGCTGCAGGGACAGAGGCACCTCTGCCAGCCCAACCTGCCACCTGGCAAGGTTTGCTGCTTGCCAGGGACTTGGGTCCTTGTTACCATGGACAGGCTGTTCCTGAGGCTGGTAGCAGTCCGGCCCTCAGACTGTTACCCTCAGCTACTCTTCCATAGGGGCACCACAGATACAGCCAGGAGAGGCCAGGAGCGTTATCAGGCCAGAGCCTGGGGAGGAGGTGGTGTCTCCTTCATCCTGCTGATGAAGGGAAAGGACTTGAGGAGGAGTAGGCAGATCCTGCAGACCAACAAGTGTTTGTGCAGCTTCTGTCAAAAGCTGGGACTCAGCTTTTACATCCATAGGACTTTCTCTGAGGATCAAGAACTGGGGAGGAGGTGGAGGGCAGGATCCACCTGACACTATGTGGACAGAGATCTTACCAACAAAACAGAGGTGAAGCGGGGCTGCAACAAGTGTGTGCGCACACTTGATACAGAAACACCACTTGGGTGTACTGGGATGGGGTTAGGAAAGCCAAAGCCCACCTGGAGTTGAATCTGGTGAGGGATATGAAGGTCAAAAGGAAAGTCTTCTACAGGTATGTGAGCAGCATAAGGAAGGCTGAGGGAAATGTGGGCCCGCTGCTGGATGGGGCAGGGTACGTGGTGAAAGGATACAAAAAAGTCAAAGTGCCTTAGTCACCTTGCTCTTTATGAGTAAGACCTGCTTTCTGGAATCCCAGGCCCCTGAGACCTGTAGGAAAGTCTGGAGCAAGAAAGATTTACTCTGAGTGAGGGAGGATCAGATTAAGAAACCTTTAAACAAAACTGGACATAACACCTCCATGGGACCTGATGAGATGGCACCATGAGTGCTGAGAGAGCTGGCCCTGTTATTGTGAAGCTGCTGTCAAATACGTTTGAAAGTTTTAGGCTGATGGGTGAGGTTCCGCAGGACTCAAGAAAACAAGTGTCAACCCAGTTTTCAAGGGCAAGAAGGAGGATCCACGCAACTACTGGCCTGTTAGCCTCACCCTGACCCCTGGGAAGGTGGAGCAAATAATCCTGGAAACTTGTTTCCAAACTCGTGAAGGACAGGAAGGTGACTGGGAGTAGTGAGCATGGATTTATGAAGGGGAAATCATGCAGACTGACAGAAACAGAGAGGCCAAAAAAACCAGAGGCAGCTAGAAACACTGCTGACTGCTGAAGAATCCATCTGTTTTCCATCTTACCAGAGCAGTAGAGATTCCATGACTTCACAGCACTTCCTCAGAAGGGGAAATAACAGCTCAACAAACAAAACAGAGAGATAGAAGTACTGAAATACTTGTTTCCAAGTGACTTACTAAGTATAATGTACGAGCAATAAGCAGTGAGAGAGATTCTGGAGAAAACAATAAGAATGCCTATAATGGAAATGTATCCCAAATTTTTACAATTTGATGACTAAATTTTGCCTGCATGACGTTATTCACTTTTATAATAAAAAAAACAACCCAAAACAAAACAAAACCAAACATACACATACACAAACCCATACCTTTGATGACAAGTTCCACACTTAAGTTGGAACTATGCAAAAAAAGGCCCCATTCTCAAGATAGGGAGATTTTTCATTATTATCTTCTGTATCGTTTCTGAAAGAGACAGAAAAGAGTGCGATACTCAAACAATCATCATCACTGGTTTGAAAGGCAGCATATAATGGATTACCTTCTATTCTGTTCTTCCCACCCCACCTCACTGAGCACAGCTTCCTCTCAAGCTATTCACAGAGATAGCCAGATCTTTTGCCTCCCATGTCTGAACTGACATGCTGATTCTAGCTAGCATTCCCTGAATTTCAGTTCTAGGCCATTTCGCAATTTGAATATACATTCAAAAGGATGGGATTGTTCAGAGAAAGGTCTATATAAAACTGCACTACTGCCAGTGTATTTCAGTTAAATTATGATATACTTGCTTCCTGCATGCCTACTGTAACGATAAATTAAGTTTTATACTTTTCATTATACTTTTCTCGCAATACTGCATAAACAATGTTAATATATTGACCTTCTCCAGCAAAGTGAGCTTTTTCCTCTCTCCCTCTTCGTTTATGTACCGTACATAAATAGGTAAGGAGGAATTGGGTGGGGGGTCGGGGGGGGTAGATGGAATAAAGAAAACCTAACGTGCACATTCTGATGATTAGGTAGAAAGTACTAGATTCCAAGTTAACTCACAAACAAGGTGAATTTATAATTTTCTCTTTTTAAACATACTTTAAAAATATATGTATTTACTCTTTCAAATACAATGTCAAAAGAAAGGAAGACGGATCTCAAATAATTTCTGTTCTTTAGGATGCATCATTTCTGATAAGAATAACTACAATACGTAGAGGAAAAAAAGTCTATGAGCAGGTTTACAAAATCAGTTGAAAAGAAGCAATTAAGTGATTTATATCCGTATACACTCAGTATTCACACATGCAATGCCTAAGAAAATCTCCAGCGAAATAATTTAGGATAAAATACACAACAGTTGTGTTGGAGGTTTTGTGGTTTTCTTCCCTCTTACCCTAATTTATAGCCATTTTTTCTAAATAAACATCTCAAACACAAAGCATTTGAAAGCAAACAGTAGCTGTGGCTGTGAAAAGCTTCAGCTTTACCAAAACATGACTGAGCCTTTTCTACATAATCGAGAATTGCTCTTGCCTCTCCAAAAAATACTTTCACTGAGGGATGCCTGGACAGCATTTTTTCCTAACCCTTTTATTTCTGCCCAGTTCAGTTGATGGTGTAATAAACTCAGTATTCGTTCACTACAATCACCTCCAATATGACTTCTGATGTGACATCCACTGAATAATGAGACCACAGAATGAGTCAGGCAGGCAGAAAGTCACTTCTGAGAAATGAGAAAGCTTTGCACTAACCATGAATGTCAACACGAAATAAAGACTGTTTTAATAGGCTCATTTGAAGGCAAACTTCAAA